GTCAGAATCCAATTTGACCTTGACTGACTTCAGAAGAGTGGTTGCTAAAGGTTACTATACTTAAGACTTAAATAAATAAATAAATATAGCGCTACTCACATAAATAACATATAATTTAAACCAATAAAATATACATGTGAATGGCCAATCCCGGGGCAGATAAGGTGGAGGCGTGGCCTGCTTTCCATATTTGGACGGTAATATGGAAGAGCTTATAAGAGTTAACATGACAACGCCGTATATCAACCTGATTGGACAGCACGTGTTCCCCAAGGCAATGCACAATCTGGAGAGGAGCCACTACCAGAGTGCTGACCGCCTGTGAGGGAGATTTGTTTGCGGTGAGAGCAGACCAGTGGAGAGGCTGCATACTTAAAGGATCTGAGGGTGTGATCCCACAAAATGCTTTGACCCTTACGGGTTGAAGTTTTGAGGGGAGAGGCTAATATAGCCGGTGGTCGGATTGTTTTGTGTCAGCAGCTACCCACTGTCACATATTATCAGCACAAGTGTCATCTGGAATTGGATAAAGTGATATTATTCACATCATATTGGACTGTTTGAGCACAGATCAGACGTTGCAGTCTGATCTAATTTGTGTGTTGTTTCACGGCATTTGCACAAATATTGTACACTGATTATTGTGTTGTTTTATGTATTTTTATTGCACTGATTGAGATATTTTTACATATTATAGGGGGTACATGTCCTTTGTCATTTTTTGTGGCACTTTAGATATTTATTGTATTTATATACACTAGGTCTTTGCATGTTTATGCTTTATATTGAGTTTGCAGTGGTTGAGACCTATTTTTTCTTGACTATTATTCACCATCACTTCTTGGTCCAGCTGTATATCACTATATTTGTGGTATTATATTATGTGGCACATTGCATGATTGTGTGTTATTTCACAGGTATATTTATATATTTTATATATTTATATTGGCACTAAGTGAGCATTTTTTAGTGTATTTCACTTATGTTTTTTACACAGTGTGTCACCATTCACATGTATATTTCATTGGTTTAAATTATGTTATTTATGTGAGTAGCGCTACATTTTTATTTATTTATTTATATCTACAGATCATGGGTATATGATTTAATGTTAGCAGCTTCTCTTGGTAAGTCACATATTTAGGAGTATCAGCGCAGGAGGTTCACACCACTATATACTTAAGACTTCTCACTTATGGAGAAAAATTTGAATACAGCTGATAAGACTGCTATTTGTCCAGCAAAGTAGCGGCCGGTTTGTCTCCTTTAGCATCTGGATTTGATTAAGGCAAGATACTTATTTGTCAGTTGCTAGCTGACATATATAAGATGCAGACATCTTTCCAATCAATCAAGAAGTGTAGTAATGTCCCAAGGAGATATGGACAATTTATATAATTCATTAATTCAATTCAATTCATTGGAAACTTCCCCTCTGCTCTTGTTCCACTGATAATACAAAGCTACCACAGATTTATACATCCTTTATGAAAGTGAAAGAACCCTTTACAAAGACTCTCATGTAAAATTAAAAATGGCAGTATAAAGTGCAGGCATCTAGAACTGCACACACCTGCAGCAGCCTGTGAGACTCTTCTTGAAACCCTTATTGTCCCATATACTGTCAATACTGGGCCATTGTGACTGTCAAATCTACACTTTAGGGCAGTGCTGGAGCTTGCTGCTAAACCCTGCCCCCATTCATTCCTATTTGTTCTGTACTAGGATGGTCTCTTTCACTGGCCAATAAGAATTTGAAGGAGGGAACAAGGAGCAGGTAAGCTTCTGGACTTTCGGGAAGCTTTGAATGTTTGCTTGTCATAACGGCTTGGAGCGCTGCTATCAAAAGAAGAAATTAGGGACTACTGAATAAGGGGAGGGGCCTGAATATGGTGCTGTGAGGATCAGGAGCCCCAGAACGCCAGCCACATACGAGACATAGCTGCCTTACCTGAGGCCCAGGCCAGTGCGGTGTCAGACACCACGGTGACTCTGAGACCGGGCGGTCCTGGTGGCGGTCGGAGGCAGGTGTCGGTGGAGGCCAGAGTTGAGTCCCTAGGAGAGCTGGTGGGTGGTGGTGGTCGACGAGGTGCACTGGAGCCCCAGGACCCCAACAAATCGGGAGTATGAGGTGGCGGCAACGGAGGAGAAGGGGACAATGAGAGCATGTGACAGCCCATGTGACTGTGGCGGCAATTTTGAATGTGGCAAACTGTCCCAAAGGTCCAGAAGAGCAGTGAGGGTTCATGGAAGAAGAGGGGGCAGTTCACTGGAGGCAATTCCCTCTGGATTGTGACAGCAGTCTTGGGAGACCCTGAGACACCCCAGGCCATTTAATATATAGAGACTGATTTGCCTGGACTAATTTGGAACTTGGCTCGGAGGCCATGGCTGCGACAGAAGGTGCACCGGGAGAGAACGATCCTATTCAGTTGGCACGGAAGGTGGTGGTGAGTTGCCGTGGGTAACGGCAGGACATTTAATCTTTTGTTGTACCTGATGTAATTGTTGCAATCTAAAGTACACCTGAGCACTGGGGGGGATGGAGGACTATATTTGCTGGGGTTCTCAGTGGTTAGCAGGATTGGTTAGATCACTCCTGCTCCCAAAGTAACACAATAAAGAGAGTGCTTAATCCACTGATAGGTAGACCCATAACAGAACACTTAAAAATGGAGAGAGTCCATAAGATTAGGCAACTGCAAGGAGTGACAGCAGATTCGCCTAGAGATGTGATTGTTCGATTCCATCACTACGAGGATAGAGAGAGAATATGGAAAAAACTCTGAGAGACCAATGAAATAAAATATGGAGAAATAAAGCTGCAAATATTTGCTGGCATAGCATCCGAGACCTTAGCCAGAAGAAGACCTTTGAAACCATTGTTGGAACAGATGAGGGAGAAAAAAGTTCGATACAACTGGGGTTTCCCAGCCCGTCTAATTGGGTGGAAAGATGGGAAATAGGCAAGACTGAGATTCCCAAAAGAATTAAGTGACTTCTGCAAAAAATTAGATTTACAGGAAATGGACATTGTGGGGTGGTCGGGGGGTTTTACAGAGTGCTCAGGACCAAAAAAAAGTGGCAGATGGTAATTAAAAAGAGAAGGTAAACCAGTGTGGGATGAGGAGGGGAAGGGGAGGGATGAGAGGGGGGAGGGAGAAAGGGGGGGAGGGAGGGAGAGAGGGGGTGACCCCCCCAGTCTCTCCTATGCCCCAAAGATAGGTGTTTCCTTTTTTTTTTCTTCTCTTTCTGCTTCTCCCCTCTATTTCCCCCACCAGGGTTGCAATGCCCCCATTTGAGAAAGTAGGAAGGTTAGATAGGCAGTAGGAACTATTTAAAAAAAGAGAAGGAAATGGTGGGATGTTTGGAGGTCAAATGCACTACCAAACTCTAGATCCCCTATGTTGCGAGATAGGGGGTGGAGTGGGCATGTGTGTTTAGAGCCTCACCTTAACATAGGATTCGCCAGTGGGAATGTCCCACGACAGATTGTAGGGCAATATTTAGGCCAGGTTTTTTTTCAAAAGTAATATAAGGAAAGGGAGTGTGGACAGAGGGGGGAGGGAGGGGAGGAGGGATGGAAGGGGGGGGGGGAGGAGGGAAGGAGGGATGGAAGGGGGAGGTCCTTGTTCTAAATTATCTAGGTCTGTATCCCTTTGAAGGGAAATATAGTGGAGAAGTGACAGCTTTAGAAATGAGTTTGATTAATTTTATAACATATAACGTAAAAGGATTAAACTCCCCAACTAAAAGACATAAAATACTTAGGGAAATCCACCAATATTCTATGGATGTAGTGTTTTTTTAAGAGACACACATATATCACATGACACAAATGTCAAGTTATATTCAAGGTATTATCCAACCTGGTATTATGCCGATTTATCAACAAAAAGAGCCAAAGGAGTAGCAATTGGGTTCTCAAAACATGTAAATTTCAGAAGGTTAGTTTCTTTTTCTGAGAGGAAAATTACAAGGAGTTGACTGTACGTTAGTGAACATCTATTGCCCAAATAATAAGCCAGTAGTATTTCTGGAAAGTATATTAAGAAAACGGCATGATTTTAAAAGGGGTAGTCTGATTGTGGCAGGAGACTTTAATTTTTGTTTGGATCCATGGATGGATACGTCATCAAGTGCTCAGAGAGAAGGTGGTAGAAAATTAAAACAGTTGAAAAAAAAATTACATCAACATCAATTGATAGATACGTGGAAAATGAAACATGTAAAAGAAAGGGATTATAAATTTTTCTCTCCAGCGCACAGATTGTATTCATGATTGGACTACATAATGATCGAACACAGACAATTAGGGGTTTATTTACTAAAGCTGGAGAGTCCAAAATCAGACTTCCTTCTGCATAGAAACCAATCAGCTTCTAACCTCAGCTTGTTCAATGAAGCTTTGGCAATGAAACCTAGAAGCTGATTGGTTTCTATGCAGAAGGGAGTCTGATTTTGGACTCTCCAGCTTTAGTAAATAAACCCCTTAGAGTCATTTGTTAAGTTTAACATAGAGGTTATGTCTGTGTCAGATCATGCACCTGTCACAATGAGACTACGTGTAGGAGAAGAATAGAATAACTATGTGGAGATTAAACTAGATGCTTATACAAGACCTGGATTTAGAGAACGGGTTAAGGAAGGAAATAGAGCAATTTTTTACACTGAATGAGACTGAGGAGGTATCTGTTGCTACAATATGGGAGGCACACAAGGAATATACTAAGAGTGTGGGACGCACTGCATAAGCAAACGGATTGGAAATATAACTCAGTTTTGATTCCTCTGGTGGGTACAGAGTATTTTCCACCAGGGAAAGACAATATCTCGGGGAAATGGATTAAAGATAGAAATGCATAGGATATAGTCGATAAAGTCGGGAAATTGTACACTTTTGAAGATTTAAAGGAAAAAAAAGATTTATTTTTCACATTATATGAATGGCGGTACTACCAGCTAGGACATTTTGTTGCATCACTCTCACAACCACTGAGGATGCTGAAGGATATGTACCAGGTAGAAAAAATGTTGAGTTCAAACATAATATAGAAACCTGTAACCTCCAGAATATATAAGATCCTTACCAGGGGCGGACTGACAACTCCTGGGGCCCCCGGGCAATAGGGGATCATGGGGCCCCTGTGTCCTTGCCCAAACTCAAAAAAGCCTATGAAAAAAGGTACCAGGGGCATCTCATGGGGCCCCCTACTGACCCCGGGCCCTCGGGCAGTGCCCGAGTTTCCAAATGGTCAGTCCGCCCCTGATCCTTTCTGATCTGGAGGTTTCTGATCCCCCTCTAAAGTACACCTGAGCTAAAGTACACCTGAGCACTGGGGGGGATGGAGGACTATATTTGCTGGGGTTCTCAGTGGTTAGCAGGATTGGTTAGATCACTCCTGCTCCCAAAGTAACACAATAAAGAGAGTGCTTAATCCACTGATAGGTAGACCCATAACAGAACACTTAAAAATGGAGAGAGTCCATAAGATTAGGCGACTGCAAGGAGTGACAGCAGATTCGCCTAGAGATGTGATTGTTCGATTCCATCACTACGAGGATAGAGAGAGAATATGGAAAAAAACTCTGAGAGACCAATGAAATAAAATATGGAGAAATAAAGCTGCAAATATTTGCTGGCATAGCATCCGAGACCTTAGCCAGAAGAAGACCTTTGAAACCATTGTTGGAACAGATGAGGGAGAAAAAAGTTCGATACAACTGGGGTTTCCCAGCCCGTCTAATTGGGTGGAAAGATGGGAAATAGGCAAGACTGAGATTCCCAAAAGAATTAAGTGACTTCTGCAAAAAATTAGATTTACAGGAAATGGACATTGTGGGGTGGTCGGGGGGTTTTACAGAGTGCTCAGGACCAAAAAAAAGTGGCAGATGGTAATTAAAAAGAGAAGGTAAACCAGTGTGGGATGAGGAGGGGAAGGGGAGGGATGAGAGGGGGGAGGGAGAGAAAGGGGAGGGAGGGAGAGAGGGGGTGACCCCCCCAGTCTCTCCTATGCCCCAAAGATAGGTGTTTCCTTTTTTTTTTCTTCTCTTTCTGCTTCTCCCCTCTATTTCCCCCACCAGGGTTGCAATGCCCCCATTTGAGAAAGTAGGAAGGTTAGATAGGCAGTAGGAACTATTTAAAAAAAGAGAAGGAAATGGTGGGATGTTTGGAGGTCAAATGCACTACCAAACTCTAGATCCCCTATGTTGCGAGATAGGGGGTGGAGTGGGCATGTGTGTTTAGAGCCTCACCTTAACATAGGATTCGCCAGTGGGAATGTCCCACGACAGATTGTAGGGCAATATTTAGGCCAGGGTTTTTTCAAAAGTAATATAAGGAAAGGGAGTGTGGACAGAGGGGGGAGGGAGGGGAGGAGGGATGGAAGGGGGGGGAGGGAGGAGGGAAGGAGGGATGGAAGGGGGAGGTCCTTGTTCTAAATTATCTAGGTCTGTATCCCTTTGAAGGGAAATATAGTGGAGAAGTGACAGCTTTAGAAATGAGTTTGATTAATTTTATAACATATAACGTAAAAGGATTAAACTCCCCAACTAAAAGACATAAAATACTTAGGGAAATCCACCAATATTCTATGGATGTAGTGTTTTTTTAAGAGACACATATATCACATGACACAAATGTCAAGTTATATTCAAGGTATTATCCAACCTGGTATTATGCCGATTTATCAACAAAAAGAGCCAAAGGAGTAGCAATTGGGTTCTCAAAACATGTAAATTTCAGAAGGTTAGTTTCTTTTTCTGAGAGGAAAATTACAAGGAGTTGACTGTACGTTAGTGAACATCTATTGCCCAAATAATAAGCCAGTAGTATTTCTGGAAAGTATATTAAGAAAACGGCATGATTTTAAAAGGGGTAGTCTGATTGTGGCAGGAGACTTTAATTTTTGTTTGGATCCATGGATGGATACGTCATCAAGTGCTCAGAGAGAAGGTGGTAGAAAATTAAAACAGTTGAAAAAAAATTACATCAACATCAATTGATAGATACGTGGAAAATGAAACATGTAAAAGAAAGGGATTATAAATTTTTCTCTCCAGCGCACAGATTGTATTCATGATTGGACTACATAATGATCGAACACAGACAATTAGGGGTTTATTTACTAAAGCTGGAGAGTCCAAAATCAGACTTCCTTCTGCATAGAAACCAATCAGCTTCTAACCTCAGCTTGTTCAATGAAGCTTTGGCAATGAAACCTAGAAGCTGATTGGTTTCTATGCAGAAGGGAGTCTGATTTTGGACTCTCCAGCTTTAGTAAATAAACCCCTTAGAGTCATTTGTTAAGTCTAACATAGAGGTTATGTCTGTGTCAGATCATGCACCTGTCACAATGAGACTACGTGTAGGAGAAGAATAGAATAACTATGTGGAGATTAAACTAGATGCTTATACAAGACCTGGATTTAGAGAACGGGTTAAGGAAGGAAATAGAGCAATTTTTTACACTGAATGAGACTGAGGAGGTATCTGTTGCTACAATATGGGAGGCACACAAGGAATATACTAAGAGTGTGGGACGCACTGCATAAGCAAACGGATTGGAAATATAACTCAGTTTTGATTCCTCTGGTGGGTACAGAGTATTTTCCACCAGGGAAAGACAATATCTCGGGGAAATGGATTAAAGATAGAAATGCATAGGATATAGTCGATAAAGTCGGGAAATTGTACACTTTTGAAGATTTAAAGGAAAAAAAAGATTTATTTTTCACATTATATGAATGGCGGTACTACCAGCTAGGACATTTTGTTGCATCACTCTCACAACCACTGAGGATGCTGAAGGATATGTACCAGGTAGAAAAAATGTTGAGTTCAAACATAATATAGAAACCTGTAACCTCCAGGATATATAAGATCCTTACCAGGGGCGGACTGACAACTCCTGGGGCCCCCGGGCAATAGGGGATCATGGGGCCCCTGTGTCCTTGCCCAAACTCAAAAAAGCCTATGAAAAAAGGTACCAGGGGCATCTCATGGGGCCCCCTACTGACCCCGGGCCCTCGGGCAGTGCCCGAGTTTCCAAATGGTCAGTCCGCCCCTGATCCTTTCTGATCTGGAGGTTTCTGATCCCCCTCTGTACTTAGAAAATTGGGAAAAGAAGCTGAGAACAAAACTGAACGAGCAACAAAAAAATAAGATATTTAAATTAACATACGAGGTGACAAATATGAATACAGCTGAAATTAATTATAAGTGCTTAGCAAAATGGTATATCACACTGAGTGTGGCACATAAACAATGAATAGATGTCTCAACATTATGCTGGAGAAGGTGTGGGAATAAGGGAACAATGCCACACATATATGGTGGGATTGCCCTAAAATTCAGAAGTTTTGGCAGGAAATAATCCAATATATACAGGAGCTATCATAGGGGACAATTGTTCAGAAGGACACGTGGGTTTGTATATTTTTATAACACCAAGACTTCTGTGAAACAATACAAAAACAGCATATTATATCACCTAATTAGTGCGGCCAAAAGTCTTATCCCTAAATATTGGTTAGTCCAAGAGCCCCAAAAATAAAGGAGTGGATAAAGAGAGTCGAATACATATATAAGATGGAGGAGTTATGTCATATAAAAGAGGATAAAAAAAAAATTTAGAAGTGTGGAGTAGATGGTATCATTTTAAATCATCTAAACGATATTGGAAAGTGGTAGGAGCTTAAGTTAGTAAGAGTTGCAAGAGTATGAAAAGGTAACTGGTTTGCTATGGGGCTCTAGATGAAGGAAAGGGATATAGAAATATATAGGTAGACATGGAAAGATTATAGAATGTGGACCAGGGGTATGGTGTGGGCTGGTAACAAGGGTGGGTGGCGTAGTGAATAGGTACAAGGTATGTAGTATTTATGTATTTAAGAATTGTTGAACACAATGTGGATTTTTGTAATGGAAAAAATGTAATAAAAAAAGATATATATAAATATATATATATATATATATATATAATATAAAAAAACAAAAAAACAGGAAATTAGAGGCTGTTATGTGTATGTGCAGACATCTTTAGGAACTTTATACCTGTGCCACAATGTTTTTGTCTAGTGTCTCTTCGAATAGGAATTATAAGTACACCATGCTAAAAACAATGCAGCAATGCTTGAACATCCACTTTAAAATGTATTGTTATGATGTATATGTTCTGCTTTTTAAGCTGCACAGAGACAGACAGGTAATTAAACTTCGGCAACCCTTTTATTATTGTTTTCTGGAGCCTTGAAATAGACCTTAAACATTTCACAAAAATGAATTGCACTAAAGCTTTAGAGGCTTTTTTTAATAAACATTAGAAAAATGTTTTTTAGGAGGAGCTGTACAGAGCGTGACGTCATTCGCACCGCCGGAGCCACGAGGAGGCTCGGCGGAATCTTTACTGAGGGTCAGTTACTGCTACCTTATCCCTGTTAACCTGTATGGGTCTGGTTTTGCATGCTACCCTATATATAATGCTAAGGCAAATAAATTCCTTTAACATACTACACTATCTCTGGCACCTGTGTCTTTTCTGGGGCTCCTATCTGGAGCTGTTACCCCCACAGAGAAGGTGCCATTACCACTTAGTGGAGAGAGTCCCACCACCATTGTGAAGCTGATACACCTTAAGGAGGACCTCAGGATCTGGTTTGAGTCTTCAGGGACCCACCGTGAGAGGGATGCATGCTATCTGAATGTTGGAGGATCTGACATCAGGAATGATTATTCCTACATGCGCATAATCCATGCGTTTCTGGTGAGTGCGCATTGCTATTATTTAAAGCCGCAAGAGCTTTGAAAGTCTGCACCTATATAAGAAACCACGGCTATTATCACATTGACTTTTGGATTGTTTTCAGTTTATATTCTTCTAGCGCTGCACCATATTACCTTTTGTTTATACTTTACATTTAAAGGCATTGTGGTTGCCTTCGGTGCTTTAGGCTGCTGTTTCAATTCACTATTAAATTTGTACCTATTAGAAAAATGTTGCTTTTCATTTTGCAGCAGCCTGCCTTACTGTGCTGCAATTTTTTTCTTTAGATTACAAAATTTCAAAATGGAATGTTACAACAACAGGCAAACAGTATGGTTAAGACCAATAGCAGAGGAAAAAAAGTTAAATTAAGAAAAAAATTTCCTTTTCCAGCTGTTTCTTCATAATAATGGGTTACGCCTGGATTTGGGTGGTCGGTGAAACTTCTGGCACAACAGTGGCAGACGTTCTGACAATTGTTCAAATTGGCACAGCTATATGCAAAATAAATTG